ATTCTGTGACATTACTGCCAGAGACGCAGAGCCAGAATTGAACCATGGGGACACTTGAGGCCGCTGGCATTGAGGGACAGTCTACAGGACAGCCAGCCTGTGACCTTCACGAGGCCCAAGGTCATGGAGGTCAAGGGAAATCCAAGGCTCAGGGAGCATAAAGCCTCAGGACAGCTGAGCGTGATGTGGGTTGGGTCCTGTCAATAAACGATGTTGCTGGGACAAATGCAGAAACCAAGTGGGGTCTGATGTGTCTTATTATTTCTTGATTTTACAGAGACTTGAGAGAAAGTCCTAGTTTGCAGGAAATATATAGAAAAGTGTCCGGGGTCATCGGTGTGCTCCCAAATAATTTAGGTAAGAAAAAAAAAAAAGTCTTGTACCTGACCTGCATCTTCTCTGTATATATGAGACTATTTCAAAATGTAAAAGCACGTGTATTTATAAAAAGATGGGCTCAAGCCGAGTATTTCCACGGATTTGTTCAGTGCCCAGACCCCTGGTTTGCAGCCCCTGGTGGGAGCAGCTCTTGCTGCTACTTTTACTGCTAATTTGTCCTTTAGGACTGAACACAGAGATGCACCACTTCTGTGTCTACTGTTTACTTCACGTGAGACAGAATTAGTGGGAACGTTTTATAAAATGGTCTTTGGCTTTAACACAAGAGTAAGACCACCACCCACTATGAGAGAGGCTGGGTTCTTGTAGACCCGGTCCACTGCCGGCTCTGACCCATGGGCTGTGTGCCCAGGGGACCTGGGGACCCTATCTGAGCTGTTTCCCCAAATACACGAGGGCCTAGGATTGCCCCCCCGCCCCCCCGCAGGCTGCTGGAGAATGAAGTGGGACCCCGGGGGGGCGTCCTTGATGAGCAGAGGTAGCCTGTTCCCCCAGGAGGGACCTTTAGTCCATCTGGTGTGGTAGGACGGGCGGAGACCCTTCCTGGGCCCAGGGACCAGATGGCGGACAGACGGATGTGGGATGTGGCCTGGCCTGGAGAATGCCTGCCTGGCCATGGCATCCACGCATCCCAGGATGGGCCCTGAGCCTGCCTCTGCTACCTGGGCATCAGGTAGGGGTGGAGGTGTGCAGCTGCGGGAGCCTGAGCTCTCCCCTGAATATGCGAACGTTTGTGCCTCACCCTAGAGCGGGGCGGTGATAACTCCCACGATGCAGGGAATGAGTGCCAGTGCCTTCGAGCAGCCTCCCATGCCCCACGTGAGCTGGCCTCGCGCTTCCCGCTCTCCTCCTGGAAAACCTCCAGGATGCAGGGGCTTCTGGTGGGTGGGCCCATTGCACCCCAGGACGTGTGCGCCTGCCCTGCCCCCCCCCCCCCCCCCCCGCGCCCCCGGCCGGCCTCTTCCCTCAGATCCCTGCACAACCAACTCCTCCTTTTCTCTGTTTCAGCTCATTCCCCGGCTCAGGCGGCCTTTCCGGAGCCCCCTGGAAAGCAGCTGTTCACAAACTTCCCCGTGTATCACACTCACAGAAAGGGGGGAGGGTAACACATGGCCGGCCCCACCCCGAGCCTTCTGATCAGCAGGTAGGGCCAAGCCCGAGAATCTGCATTTCTACCGGCTCTGGGTGATGTCGATGCTGCTGGCCTGGGCATCCCGCCTGGAGAACCCCTGCTCTAAAGCGGCCCCTGCAGGGGCTCTTCGCACCCCCTTATGGCCTGATGCTCACATCACCTACTCTCCTCTTCCTAACCGACACCATTTTTGCTGCAGGTGTTCACCCGCCCCAGCCCCAGGGAGGGGTGGTGATTCCTCTAGACCAGAGGTTCTCAACCCAGGTGACCCTACCTTTGGGGTTACCTATGGCTGCGACAGGGATGGGCAAGGACCACCCCCCCCACGTCCACGCACCCCCAGAAGCGCTGATGAATCGCTCCCTGCCAGTGAGAGCGGGCAGGCAGCCAGGGCTTCTGGGAAAGGTCGCCCTCCCGGGTGAAGGGGGTGCAGCTCCCACTCTTTGCCCCTCCGGGTGGGAGAGTGGTGGCTGCCATCCTGGCCTTGGAGCCAGAAGCAGAAGGAGCAATGGGACGGAGCCACCTCCCTGCACTTCCTGTTGGGAGGCCCTCAGGGTCATTCGGGGTGGCAGACAGCGTCCCAGGTGCCTCACCCAAAACCTTGTCTCGTTCTGCACGTCCCGCACTGAGAGCAGTACCTGCACGTGCAGGTAGGCACTCCGTCCATCAGGGAGGGTTGGGCGAACGTGCCAGAACCCCAGGTCCTGGGACCTGACCCGGCCCGACCCCTGCCTGCGGGCAGGAGGCTCGTTTCCCTGAGCTGGGCCTCAGCTTGTCCATCTGTGAAATGGGTGTAATGACCCAGGGGTCATGGAGTCGTCAAGTAAGCGCTGGGCAGGAACGTGTTGGTGACCACTGCACAGGCCTCCCTGGAGGCCCCCCACCCCAGAGTGCAGGTGGTCTGGGGCCAGGGCTGCAGAGGCCCCGGAGGACGCCCACCATCGGACCGCCTGAGCGCGTCAGGGAGCCGAGCCTGAGCCGTTACAAAGCAGGAAGAGATCGTGTTTGTCTGAAACGCGTCACAAGGGAAGCCCACCACGGCCCCAGCTTGGGGGCTCGCCCGTGGAGGCGGCTGCCCTGGTCAAGGCAGCCGGCAGGCCCACTGGGACCAAGAGAGGAAGCCCCACGGGCGGGCGGAAGCACCAGGGGCGGCTCTGCGGCAGGGGAGGGGGTGCCCGTGGGCCTCCAGGCTGCTCTTGCCAGGGTCTGCGGACCTGACGTAACGCCCCCAGCCCCGCCTACCCCTGGCTCCTCGGTCAATCTCCGTGAGATTCAGTCACTCGCTCGCTGAAAGGACGGCTTCCGGCCCCGACCCGGCCGGGACGTGACGCAATCTCCCCAGCTGGCAGAGGGCAGGCAGGCCAGGCGGGAGCTCCCCCTGCATCCGCGCCCGGGGAGCAGCGCCCTCTGCTGGCCTCTGCCGAGTCGGGGGGGCTGCATCCGGTGGCCTCGGCCTGGGGGGCTGGCGGCGCCGTCCCCATCTGCGAGGCGGGGTCCGCTTTGCAGGGACCCTTGGCTCAGGCGCTGGAGGGGCGGGCATCAGGCCTTGCACTTTGTGGCTCTGGACCGCGGCCCCTTCTGTCCTGTCGCAGGCCAGCGCCGAACGTCACAGCGCCAGGGCCCGGGCCGCTGTCCACAGGAGGCTCAGCAGCGCGGCCAGCAGCGGGCCCGCGGCCCGCGGTGCTGCGGCGGCGATGGAGGTGCAGGAACAGACCTCGTAGGCGTCCTCTGAGCGGCTGCGGTCGCGCTGCCCCGGCCGGGCGTGGGCCCCGGCCTCTCCGTCTGCGCCCTCGGGGTCAGCGGGCGGGTCTCTGCAGACCAGCCAGTCCCGGGCCGTGGACTGCGGGTACCCGGGCGCCACCTCCAGCTCGCCATCCAGCACCTTCCAGTACTCCTTGCCGCGGAAGAAGTAGGCGGCACCTGGGGGAGAAGAGGGCAGGCAGCTGAGCTCCGGCCGCTGCAGCACGCAGGATTCAGTGTAGACGGCAGGAGGACGGGATACAGAGAGCTGCGGGGCCGGTAGGAAGGACGGACGTAGAATGTCTCAGGTGAGAGTCAAGAGTCTTGGTCTCAGCCTACGGGGAGCCCATCTGTGGGCACTCAGAGCATTACAGGCCTGGGAAAGCTCAAGGAGCCGCCTGGAGGCAGGGGGATGGATGAGATGACCTCTGCTTTTTCCCTACTATTTATTTAGTGAGGGCCTACTATGTGCCAGGCTGTTCTAGGTACTGGGGACATGGCTTTGCAAATAGAACAAATGAAACTTCCCGTAAGGGTGGAGCTGCCCCTGTGGGAGGGTGCTGTACTTCTCACTGCAGCCAGGGGGCGCTGCAATGACGTTTGGGCGGAGGCCTGAAGCCGGTGGGGAAAGTGTTGTGGGGGACGCACGGCAGGTGCAAAGGCCCTGAGGTGTGTGTGTGTGTGAGAGCAGGAGGCAAGGCTGCTATGGCTGGAGGGGTGACGGGGGCGAGGAAAGGACCCCGAGAGGTGAACAAGGGCCAGAAGGGGCGACCCAGGGGCCCCTCTGGGGGCGGGTGGTGTCTGCGGTGGAGGGGGGGGCGGAGCAGACGCACGCATCTGCCGCTGGATCCCAGCTCCCCAGGTGTGGGGGCTGAGGCTGCCCCGGAGTCGCCCTTCCCCCCGCACCCGGCTCACCATCGGACCAGCGCATGGCATCGTCGAGCGTGCTGGGGATGCCCCTCCACGGGGGACTCTGGGCGGGGTGGCCAGGGTCCATGCGCTGTGTGTGCTCATCGTAGCGCCAGTACAGCTGGTCCTTAAAGAAATAAGTCTTGTCATTGTGGGCCCAGGAGAAGGCAGCATCGACGCCGCCCGGCGGGAGGCCGAAGTCCGAGATGGGCCGCGGGTATCCTTCCTCTACGTTATTGTCCTTAAACACCCAGTATCTGTCTCCTGGGGGCGAGAGAAAGAGCCGTGGGCCGGGGTTCGTCCAGCCCACCGGGCGAGGGCCCCAGCCCTTGCTCCTCCCACAGACGGGCACCCCGATGCGCAGTGCCCATGGCGTAAGTCCCAGGAGGGTTCACTGAGCGCCTGCTGTGCTCCCAGCAGGGGTCCCACACGTGCCAGCAGCCTGGGGAGGCGGGGCCAGATGAGGCGGCCGCATCCCAGCCAGAGGGCAAGACTACCCGCTCCCACCCCGAGAAGCCACTTCGGTCAGCGGGGCCTTGTCCACTTCTGCTGTGAGGCGGGCTGAGCACGTTCACGGGCAAAGCAGGAAGGGCGCTGGGTGAAGGCCCACCGGACCTGCATGTGTGCAGCCTTGTCAGATTACACAGAAGCAGAGCTTTAGAAATCACCAAGAACTTCAAATCCGCACGTAAAGCTTTTGGAAATGGTGTGATTGAGACCCTTGTTGGGTGTCCTTGACTTTCTGCTCTGGAAACACATCCTTAGCTGCTCTGCCGCAGGAGGGTGGGAATCACATTTGGGTATGTGTTGTCATGTCCCCCACTCCCGCCCGGTTTAGCAACAAATCGACCCTGTTATTTCGAAAACAAATGAGGGAATTCCCTGGCGGTCCAGCGGTTAGGACTCTGTGCTTTCACCCTGCAAGCTGCAAGGTGCGGCCAAAGAAACAAAACAAAACAACAAATGAAAAAAGAAACAAATGAAAACAGAAGATACAAATGAAAAAGAAGCAAAACATTAAAAAGATCTTTGGCTGGACAAAGGAATGGAATAGACATTTCTCCAAGGAAGATATTCAAGTGGTCAGTAAGCACACGAGAAGATGCTCGTCACTGATCATCAGGGAAATGCATGTCGAAACCCTAATGAGACACCACCTCACACCCAGTAGGATGGGCACGATCAAACCCGCCCCCCGAAAACAGCAAGCGTAGGTGAGGATGGGGGGAATCGGGCACCGCTGGTGGGAATGTAAACTGGGAGAGGCTGCTGTGGGAGAAAGAAATAGTCCAGGACCCAGTAACCCCACCCCTGGGTATACACACAAAGGAACTGAAAGCAAGTTCTCAAAGAGCTATCTGTACACCCATGTCTACGGCAGCCTTATTCACAACAGCTAAGACGTGGAAGCAAGCCAAGCGTCCATCAGCAGATTAAAGTGTGCTCCACCCACACAATGGAACACGACTCAGCCTTGAAAAAGGAAGGCACTTCTGACACCTGCTACACCGAGGATGACCTTGAGGACGTGATGCTCAGTGAAGCAAGCCAGCCGCAAAAGGACAAGTCCTGTGTGCTTCCACAATATGAGGTCCCCAGAGCAGACAAGTCCATGGAGACAGAGAGCAGGCTGGTGGGTGCCGGGGGCTGGAGCGGGGGGATGGGGAGTTAGTGTTTCATGGGGACAGTTTCAACTTTACAAGATGAAAAAGCTTTAGAGATGGACGGTGGTGATGGTTGCACACAGTGTGAAAGTACTTAATGCCCCTGAACTCTACACTTAAAAACGGTTAAGATGGTAACTTTTACATTGTGTGTGTGTGTGTGTGTGTGTGTGTGTGTGTGTGTTTTACCACAATTAACAATAATTTCTAAAAGATCATCTGTCAGAGACTGGCAACAACTGAAAGAAACGACGGCACAGCTGCAGACAGGGCCCCGTCAATCACAACGAGAAGGGCCGTGAGGACTTCCTCTGAGTGGGCACACGTGGGGTGACGTCGACAGGGCAGCCCGACCTGCTCCAGCGGACGCTGCCAGGCGAGTGCAGAGGCCCCAAGTGCCCACACTGTCTCACATTTCAAGTCTGGAGCTGTGGTTTCTCGTGGGGATCTCCCGATTTTTCAAATGTTAAGAAATAATCCAAGTTACTTAGAAGATGCCAGACAGGTCCCCCCACCATGACTGTGGCCGGCCCTTGACATCCAGCCTGGGAGACGGTGATTCCACTGTCAGGGGGCGCGTCAGGGTGAGTGTGGAGGGGTTGAGCCCAGGCACCACACAAGGGAGGCCAGGTTGGAGAGCCTGGGTCAGGGCAGCAGGGTGGCTTCACTCTGGGGAGCTACAGACCCTGCACCCCCAAAACACAGCTGCACGTATATACAGCAGTGCGTGAGACTGAGGAAGGCTCACAGCCCCTGAGGCGCCCACAGAACTGGCAGGGCTCAGTCTCCTGCTGTAGGCGGGGCACCTTGCCTTCTCCCCAAAGAGACAGCATGCTCCCCAAGGGCAGGAACCACCACCCCAGCCCCGCCCGGGAGCGGGGCTGTTGAGGGTGAAGTGACACCCCTCCTCCAGTGGACCTGTCACCCTGGACTGAGATGGGAGAGCAGTCTCCCCCTGCTCTTAGGCTAAATCCAGCTCCTTCCCGCGGCCCCTGGCGACGACCTGCAGTTCGCACACCCGCCCCCCCTCGCCCTTCACTCCGATCCAGCCTCATCACCCTCTTGCAGGTTCTTTCAATCAGCAAGATTGTTCCTGCCCCTGGGCCTTTGCACTGGCAGCTCCCTCGGCCTAGTATGCTGGTCCCTCAGGTCTACCTGAAGTTAACTCCCTCGTTACCTGCAGGTGCTTATCGTGTGTCCCCCGGCCCAGAATGAGGGCAGGGATTTTCGTGTCTTGCCCACTGTGTGCCTGCAAGGCCTGCCACAGTGCAGAGCACACAGCAGGTGCTCAATAACTACAAATTGGTTGAGTGCACACATGAACGTGAGACTCTCTGCTCTGAGCTCTGGACCCACAGAGCAAAACACAGGACTGGCCTCCTGCGTGGACGCGAGCTTTGGGGGTCCTGGGGAGCGCGGGCTGCGGCCCCCGGTCAGCGATGCCTGGCAGCCACCCAGATGGGGGGGCACCCACCTTTCAAGAAGACGATCTTGTGGTCACTGGTGCGCTCGTACACGGCATCCACGCTGTCCAGGTGCAGCGGCAGGCCCCGCCAGAAGCGGTGCACCTGTGCCGGCTGCAGCGACACCAGGTGCCGGTCCCGGGTCAGCCGCCAGAAGTACTTGCCTGGGGGGACACAGGGGGTGGGGCTGCAGGTGGCCGGCCTGGGGCCCAGGGTGGGCTCTGCTCCTCTGTCCACCGGCGCTGGACCCCGAGGGAGTTACCTTTGAAGAAGAAGGCCTCGCCTCGGATCTGGGCCACCGCGTCAAAGTGGCCGCTGCATCTGTGTGGCACATCCTTCCTGGGCCTGGAGGCAGAGAGAGGGCCGGGCTGGGAGGCAGCCCCACTCTGAGCTGCCCCGGGGAGCTGGGCTGGGCAAGGCCATGGGGACAAGCATCCCCGAAGGACCCTGCACGCCCGCATCACCGCCTGCAGGCCCAGCGACCACAGCAGTTTAGTCAAGAGAGAAAAGCAGGTGAAACAGCCCCATGCTCGCCGTGCAGGATGCGAGATGGATCGCTGAGCGAGCGCACTGGACGAGCAGGCGCTCTCTACGCTGCCAGCGAAGCATCGAGAAGCCAGCTGGGCACTTTCTACAGAAACGCGGAGCGTGCGTGCCGGGACCCCGATTCTGAGTCTGGAGCTCTGTCCACGGACAGTACTCACAGCAACATCATGTGTGACGACAAAAGGTCAGGAACTTAAATGCCCACCGATCCAGGACTTAGAAACAGGGCAGGGCACACGCGTACCGCAGTGCAGCTCAGCCCCGAGACCCAGGCATCTTCACAGACACAGAGGCCTCCACGGGCCCTGGGGCCAGAGCTGAGGCACAGAGCATCACAGGAGACATCCCACTGGGCTCACGCATGTACATCTACACGCTGGGCTTTCTACACACGTGTGGAATCTCTCTGGAAGGACACGCACACACACAAATGTCTGCCCCAGGGAGGGGCTGGTAGGTCAGCGGCGAGGACCGACTTCTCGCCGTGAGTTGCTTTTTGTGCCCCTGGAATCGCGCACTGCTGGCAGGTGTTACTTATTCAATAAATAAGTGCAATGAAGACCAATAGTAACACAAGTTACAGCAACATCTGTGACCTCAGTGGAAATTCACCACATACAGCAGAGTGAGAAAAGCATGAAAACATCCCACGTCTGGAAAACCAAACCTCGAAACAAAACAAACCACGGAAGCCTAAATACATAGATTTCTGTTTGTATTTTTGTGTTTAGTGTTTTGTGTGAGCGTGAAGGTGGCACGGAGGCATGCCAGGCTGTGAGGGCAAAGGTGGGAGGGGTGGACGGGGATGCCTCCCTGCAGATTCTGTGGCTCTTGTTCCACTGGGGGATGGGGGGGGTGAGAGTAGGCAGGCTCTGACTGCTTTCACCACAGGGCTAGACGAATCCAAGCTGGGCCTTAAAAGGCAGACAGCTGTCGCGCGGCCTCCAGCACTGCCAGCCCTCCGGATGCTCCCTTGGGACAGCCACTCCAGGAATCCAGCCTCCGGCATGGGACACAGATGGTGCCCAGCTGAGCCCAGCCTTCGAGTCAGCCCAGCCCAGGCACCAGACCTGAGTCAAGATGCCCCCAGACGATCCCAGCCCCCAGCAGGTGTTCCCAACACCGTGGAGCCGACCCCCGACCCCCGACTGTGCCCTGTCCAAGTTCCTGACCCACAGAACCCACGAGCCTAACGATACAGTGGTGGTTTCATGCCACGAGGCAGGGCTGCTTGTTACGCAGCCGTCGATGACTGACTGGGATGAAGGGTGAGAGGAAATCGCACATTTGAAAGTCAGGGCCTCTGCACGGTTCTGGGCTGGGGTGAGCGGGGGGTCCCCTCCACTGTCTGTCCATAAGAAAAGAAACTAACTGTCACTCAGGGCTCAGCTGGCCCAGAAGAGCCACGAGCTCAGGACTCGGAGCCGCTGCTGGGGGCCGTCCTGGCCGCAGAGTGGAGACAAGGGGCCCACGGCTTACGGGGTGCTGGAGCGATCATCAGGGGGCTCCGGCAGGAGGGGCGGCTCCTCGGGCTCTGGGGTGTCCGGCTGTGCCGTTGGGGACACGGACTCCCGCACGCCTGTGGAGACAAGGAGGCTGCATCGGGCCCAGCACACCCGCCTCCCTGCAGACCCCACCACCCTTCCTGGAGCCGCCAGGACGGAGCCGGGGCCATCGGGTGGGTGGCACTGCGTCTTGACCGAGCCGAGCGCCGGGCTGTGGCGGCGGTGAGCAGGGCAGGGGAGACTCCGACCCTGGAGCCGGAGCATCGTGATGCGTGAGCGGAAGGCGCAGGTGCCCCACTGACTTAAAGGAGGGTTTACACCCCCCCCCCGCCCCCCAACTCCACTCCTGGGCACAGACCCCAAATAACAGAAAACCGGTGTTCAAACAAAAAGCTGTGCGTGAATGTGCACAGCAGCATTATTCATAATGGCCAAAAGGTGGAAACAGCCCAAATGTCCACCAACGGAAGAACGGATAAATAAAATGATTCGGCTGCCAAAAGGAGTGAATTACTGATGCATGCTACGATGGGGAGGACCCTGGAAAACGTGCTGCGTGAAAGCAGCCGGACACAAAAGGTCACACATTGTACGATTCCATTTATGTGAAACGTCCAGAAGAGGCAAGTCCAGACACAGAAAAGGGACGAGTGTTTGCTGGGGGCTGGGGAGTGGATGGGACGTGACTGCTAATGGGTGAGGTGGGACGGCGGGGGGACGGGGGGCGGGATGAGAACGTTCTGGAAGTGGAGAGGAACGGCGGTTGGACAACATTGTGAATGTACCAAATGTCATTGAATAGTTTGCTTTAAAAGGTAAAAATCGTAAATTGTACTTCAATGAAGGACGTCCACAGATGTCAGAAGGTGGTAAGCGCTGGGGCAACAGTGAAGCGGGGGTGGGGGCGGTCCAGGCGGAGGGGAGAGGCTGCAATGTGGAATAAGGGGAGGCTGGCGTCCGAGGTGAGTCACCCGATCCCAGGCTTTAAGAGGATTGCTCTGGCCGCTGTGGGTAGGGGCAGGCTGGCGTGGGGTTAGGGAGACCAGCACGGAGAAGCGGGGTGACTGGGGGAGGTTCATCACCCCCACCTTGCTCTCGCAGCTCCCAGGACAGACCTCCTTCTGCCACCTTGCCTGACGTGTCCCCAGCACAAGGGGGCCCGGAGCTGGCCCTGGGTCAGTCCTGGCTCAGCCCTCCCGTCTCTCAGTGGGGATGTGGTACCTACTTTACACAGTTTGCAAAGACTGGATGACCGAATACATGTAAGTGCTTTGTGTGGGCCCTCGTCACCATCAATGTCAGCTGTCACAACCTGAAACCGTCTGGGGATTGGACGTGGGATCTTGCCTGGGGCTCTGAGATGAGCTCCATGGAGAGGGCAGCGGGGCCCCAGGTCCTACGGACCCCTGGCGACACAACTCACCTGCTTATTCATTCCACACACACCGTGGGGCAGCCAGCGTGTGCCAGGCAGTCCCAGATGCCGAGCACGCAGCAGACAAGACGGAACCAGCCCTCTTCCGTGGGGCTCTGTGCTCTGGGGGTCCCCAGCATTGCTGTCCCCATCCCCGGGCGACCCGTGACGGGTCTGGGGGGGACTCACCGTACAGCTGCCAGACGCGCACCCTGTCCTCATAGGGGAGCCCGTAGCGCAGCGGGTCACCCACTGGGCCCTGGTAGTACGGCTGCATGATGGAGCGTGTGGCCGCCACGTGGCTCAGCCCGATGGCGTGGCCAAACTCGTGGACAGCCACTGCGAACAGGTCCATGCCGTGGGCATCTGGGGACACAGGAGCCAGTGAGCCCAGGGAGGCACTGCCAGCTCCTGCTGGGCCACGGGGACGGGACCCGTGGGGTGAGGTGAGATGAGTCCGCCCAGCTGGTTACAGAGGAGGCCCCGGTCCTGACAGACGGGTCCTATGGAGTCACTCAGGGCTTGTCTGCTTCCTAGGAGGCCCTGTGGAGTTCACAGGGGCCTCTCGGGCCCCCTCACCTCCCACGTGCCCCTCACAGTAAAGTTGGCAAACTGTTCTGCACAGGCCACGTGGTAAATATTTCAGGCCTTGCTGGCCGTCAGGATCCCAAGTGACAGGGGTCACTGTGCGCTCCCTCAACCCCACAGCACTGAATAGATGCTCCAGGCCCCACAGGACGGGCCTGGGCTCCCATCAAGGCATAAAACCCACAGGTTCTACAGGGCCACTTCTGGCTCCTCCAGCTGGGATGCGCTCCCCAGCCTGGGATACAGACTCACCCCACGAGGCCCCCGTCTCCCCCGCCCGTACCTACAGCCTGTGCCACGCGGCTCTGCCCCTCGTCCCGCCTTGAAGCTAGGGGCCTGTGACTCCTTTGGCCAATGGGACTTAGCAGAAGTGATGGCGTGCCGAGGCCTCAGAGGCCTTACAAGCTTGCACTCCCGCTTGGGAGCTGGACCAGGGTGAGGACAAGCCTGGCTCACGGAGTCACGTCCCAGGCCTGCGAGCCCAGCCCGGGTCCGCCAGGTGGGTTGCCCGTGCAGAGACGGCTGGATGCAGAGCCGTCCTCCTGAGCTGGACAGGGGCCCACGGCCTTAGGCAGGGGACCCGTGGCGGTTTCCTCTTCCTGGGGGGCTGGTGTGGCTCCCTACACCATCGTGGGCTCTGTCAGGGGCTGGGAGTTATGCGGGGTCCCCGGGGCCACCCCAACCCGGACGCACCTGAGGAGCGGAACGTCCAGGCCTCGTCATCGTCAAAGTGGGTGTCCCCTGCGGTGTGGTGGTCGCCCGGGAAGAAGGCGTGGGCCACCGCGCCGCCGGGGCCGTCGAAGGGGTAGCGGTCGTTGTGGTCAGCTGTGGAGAAGTCGATCTGGATGTCGGCGGCACTGCCGGCCACCTCGTGGAAGTTCAGGGGCGTGAGGTCGCTCCAGACTTTGAGTGCGTAGTGCATGAGCGCGCGCACCGTGTCGCGGCCCAGGGGCGAGTCCCGCGGGAACGTGCGGACCCTGGGGCAGGCGGGGTCAGAGCCGGGTCGGTCACAGGGACAGGCCCAGTGCCCCCGCCCCAGGCTGGAGTGTGCTCCCTGGAACAACTTGCCCCGGGGCGGTGGGGGGCACCGGGGCCCTTATTTGGAAATGGGGTTTGCAGACGTAACTGGGGCGGGGATGGAGATGAGCTCATCCTGGAATAGGGTGGCCCCTAAATCCAGCGAGTGTCCTCACAACAGACAGAAGGGGACACAGACACGGAAGGAGGACACGTGAAGATGGAAGCAAGGATCAGAGCCACGGGCCCAGGGCTGCTGGGGCCACCTGGACAGGGGCTGGGCCGGATTCTCCCTCACAGCCTCCAAGGGACCTGTGGCCCCTGGACCTCGGATTTCTGGTCTCCAGAACTGAGAGGATAAATTCCTGTCTCTTAAGCCCCGGTCTGTGGGTGCTCATTTTGGCCAACACCCAGACCCCCAGAAAGGCCAGGCCCGGTGGAGCCCCGCCTGCCCACCTCCATGACAGGTTCCTCTTCCTCCATTTGGTCGGGGCCGGAGCCTGGCGCCTCCTTCGAGCCGGGGCTGCGGCTGGGAGGTCAGGGAGGGAACAGCGCGGGGTTCTCATCAGCGCCAGGGTGGCCTTATCTGCAGGGCGGACGGGCGGGCGGGGTCAGGAGCCAGGCCCAGCGCACGCGCACTGGGGATTCCCAGCAGCTCCCCAAGAGCTGGCACCAAGCTCCAGTCCCGGCCCCTCGCTCTGCACCAGGTCTGGGGGGATGAGGCCCAGGCCTCCGGCTATGTCGGGCCCCCCTGCCAGGGGTGCATCCACAGACCAGGATGGGGGGCTTTCAAAGCATTCACTGACGTACGGCAGGGATCTGAGCAGTCGGAGGGGGCACGGCCCCAACTCGGACCGTCGGCCAACGGTCCCTGCATCTCACGGGACACACACCCGACCGGTTCTGTGTGTGACACACGTGTCTACTCCCGAGAGGCCTGGGGACAGACACGTTTTGATCAGCTGGCCCTTCGAAGAGTCTTTACGAAATTGGAATTTGTGGCCAAAATGTAAAAAGTGGGGTGCTCACATAAACCCCCCAGATTTCTGGTTTCTCTTGGAAAGCGGGCAGTTTCAACAGCACAGGCCTAGCACCCCAATGGGGCGACTCAACTGGGGCATGGGTGGCCAGACCCCACTCCGACAGTTGGCCTGCCTGGCCCGTGGCATGGAGTTTGAGACCCCATTGAAAGTGTGGAAAGGGGGTCTGGGTGCGGCTGGTACACACTCACCCCCTGCTGTGCCCACGGCCGGGGGATGGGGAGGGGATGACGGAGGGATCCCGTGCGGTGGGAATCCTCCCTCTATCCCAGGACAGCAGGGCAGGCTGGAGGGGGCAGTTAGGAGGAACTGGGCTCAGCTCACCCATCTCCCACTGCACCCTGAGAACTGACCCAGGACGCCAGTGGCCTCCAGGCCTCCGAACCGCTGCATGGCCACGATGGCCTTGGACAGCTCCTCTGGCGTCTGCAGCTGCCCCGTGTCGGGGTCTGCTGGGGGCAGGTAGCCAAACCTGCTCAGCCACTCCTGCGGGCAGAGAGTACAGTGAGGGGTGGAGGGGGAGCTCAGCCCCACAGAAGAGCCACCTGCCTGGGGCCATCACTGCGGGGAGGGGCAGGCCTCTCCTAGCCCTGATCAACACTCCAGCCCCTGCCCAGTAGCCCACAGGGCGTCTCATGCTCCTTCCTTGCCTAAGTGTCTTAATAAACTTGATGCCCCTTAGATGGGTGGGCTTGAGCAGTGCACAACCTGTGCGACTGCTCATGGCAGCCTGCCCCACCTCACTCCTCCTGAGGCAGCAAAATGCCCAGGGGACACTTACAGAAGTGGGATTTTTAAAAGGTTATTTAACATCGTGAGCGCCCAATTCAGGCCCGGAGCTCGCTTGTGAGGCTTTAGTTTAGGACCCAAGGTCTGAAACCCATGCTGAGAAGGGCAATGGGCTCAGAATCTGGTTTTAGGAATCTGGTTATGAGCTGCATGTGCACAGTAGTTAAGAGCCCAGACTCTGGAGCGAGGCTGCCTGGGTGCAAATCCCACCCAGCCCCCTCCTCACTGTGCAACTGAGGCAAGTCACACCCACTCTGGGCTGTTTCCTCGCCTATGGATGTGAGGATATAAAGAGTTAGAACGTGGAAATGCTCACATCAGCCCCGACACAGGTACCCTCCATATAAGGTGTGTGTTGTCAGCGGACAGCTCTGATGCAAAGTGCCCCAGTGGGGGTCCTCTGAGCAGGAATAGGGGGCAACCCTTTATACCACGGACACACATAGAACCCCTTTACCATCTGTGGGGGGACAGGGAGGCACCAATGCCACCCGTGGGGACCTCCTGGGGGGCTTCTGTTTCTTCAGCTGCCATACGGCGCTCATGCCCACTTCCCAAGCCGTGTGACAATCCCATAAAAAGCACTCAGCCGGGCTTCCCTGGTGGCAGTGGTTGAGAATCCACCTGCTGATGCAGGGGACACGGGTTCGAGCCCTGGTCCAGGAAGATCCCACATGCCGCGGAGCAACTAAGCCTGTGCGCCACAACTACTGAGCCTGCGCTCTAGAGCCTGCGAGCCACAACTACTGAGCCCACGTGCCACAACTACTGAAGCCCGCACGCCTAGAGCCCGTCCATGCTCTGCAACAAGAGAGGCCACTGCAGTGAGAGGCCCGCGCACTGCAGCAAAGAGTAGCCCGCCTCGCTACAACTAGAGAAAGCCCGCGTGCAGCAACGAAGACCCAACGCAGCCAAAATAAATAAATAAATAAATGTCCTAAAGGATAAAAAAAAAAAAAGCACTCAGCCATATGGACGCGATGCCAGGGGTGGGCTCGTCAGCCAGCTTCAGATGACCCACAGGTGGGTGGAAGGCAGGGTTTGGGAGATTCTCTGAGCTCCACCCCCTCCCAGACCAGGCTTCAAGAAATGCACCGACTTGCAGGTCTATTTTTTTTTTTTTTTTGGTGGACATTTAAAAAATCCTCGATTCATTTATGCTACCTGCAGGGCCCCAGAAGCTTGCGAGTTTGCAGCCCCTGCCTGAGGACTCCCCGCCCCGGGGATCTGTCCCCACAGCGGGCCCAGAGGGTGCTCAGTGGGAGGGGGTCTATCCTCCTGGAATTCCCAGGGAATGCAACTGACCAGGAGGGTCCTCAATGATTTGCATACACCTGCAGCAGACTAGCTGGATTCCCTCCTTTCCAGGAAACACTGAGTCCTTGCTGGGGTTCTCTCTGTTCCTTTACCTCCCCCCCACTCCTGAAGGAACCCCCAGAATGCACAGAACTGGGGGACCTGGGGACCCCCTTCAGGTCTGGGGGTCCCTCTTAGACCTAGGCAGCACAGCGCACAGCAACCAAGGGGCGCCCCCGGTGGACACCCGAGTGACATCCTGTGCCCAGACGAGGGGAGCACGAGGGCCGGGCAGGCTCACCCCGACCCGGGCTCTGCCCTCTGTGCTACTGAGGCCTCTGCCACTCCGAGCACCCTTCTTTTGGGAGGACCACCCTTCACATCACTTCAAACACATTTAAATGCATCCTGTCAGCCGTCAACAGGATTTACTGAGTCCCCTGGCTAGTCACTGTCTGGGCCCTGGAAATGCCCAAGAGAGCATTCCAGGTTACAGATGTGTATTTGTATCCACTTTGCTGTACTAACAGAAACTAACGCGACATTGTAAGTCACCTATACTCCAATAAAAATTATTTTAAAAAATGTGTACTTGTGGCTACACATCTTGGGGGAAAGTTTTACATATGCTTTAAGGTTTTGAGGCTGCCGTTTCCTTTCTGAAAGTCAGAAAGCACACACGCACATTCTGCAGCCCTTTGTTAAGCTTGCAGGACGGAGCTACAGAGCCTGGAGGCGCCCAGCACCACGAGGAAGCCCTCTGGAGTGTCCTCGGACTGTACATGATGCTGGGTGAGGATGCTGTCCCCACTCTCCTTACCAGGTAATGGTCCACCCAGGTAAGCGCCTTTCCCCACCCAGGCCAGTTGCTTTGGGTGGGCAGGGGCTGAGACAGCCTGGGGGGACCACCCATCTCCCGGCTGTCCGCTTCTAGGCTGGGATAACAGCTGGGTGTCTGATCGTAGCAGACCCCTGCTCCGAGCCCTCGCGGGGCTCCATGGGGCTCACAGAGGAGCTGCGCCCTCTGGTGCTGGGCAGCCTGGCCCGAAGGCCAAGAGCATCTTTGGGCTTCAGGCCTCAAGAGCACCTCAGGTGGTTTGGAAACGTCTGCTAACATTGAAAAGCAGGAGGTTTCAGCTACAGGTCTGAGTCAACTTGCAGAACAAGGGCAGAGCTGAGGGCCTGTGCCAGCCTGGGACAAGCTCTGCTCTGACCGCGGTCGGCAGCTGCTGGCGCCTGCCCGGGCCCTGGGCACTGCAGCTTGCACCCCCTGCTGCGTGCAAGAGCACAAGAGTGGGACCAGATCTGAGGGGCTGGCGGGAGGGAGGGGCTCCCTCCCCCCTTTCCCCCCACAGGCTTGGGCTCAGGCATCCCACCTGCCCCCAGCGCAGCTCCCTCCCCCATCGCAAAGCCCGTCCCTTCTCTTCACACCCCAGGCCCACCTCCTCCCCGTGGCCCCACCAGTGGCGGTGGGCTTCTGTGTCGATTCCTGGACAGCTCGCTGGGGGAGATCCTCAGGAGGTGTCTGACAACAGGACGAGGCCCTGGCAGCCACCGGCCCTCAGGTGATGCATGGATCGGGGGGCCTGAAGAACCCATAGGGACCCTAGCCCAGCCTGAGCCCTCCTGTTCTCCTGCCTTCGGTGGAAACACAAGTGTCCCCGACAAGAAGCCCCCATCCCTGCTGGGAAGGAACAGTCACCCTAGAGCCCTGGGAGGGAGGGGGCGTCTCGGACAGCCCCTTTCTCTCTCTCTTTCCCTCTCCCTCTCACCCTGCCAGCTCGTTCCCCTCTTCAGGGGAGACAAGCAAATTCCCGAAGGGCCGGGGTTTCACTTTTTTTCCTGGTAGTACGTACACGCTGGAACAGCACAGAGGAACCAGGCTGAGAACCCGTCCTCAGGGCCGGGTCCTTGCATGGGGCAAAGGCTGACAAAAGCCCCGCCTCGGCTGCCCCTGGAGCCCGCACAGCCCCGATCCCTGCACCCACCGCAGTGGTGCCTGCATCAGGATGGCCCCTGGGGTGGGGGCCCAGATCTCTTGCCCCCCAATACCCTACAGAGCCTGTGGGTCGCCTGGGCCAGCCCCCGCCTGTGCTCATCCACTGGTCCTCCCTTCACTGTCACCACGGCTACCGTGTCTCCAGGGCAACGAGGCTGTGTGGGCAGAGGGTGAACTTTCCAGAAGGCTGAGGGGAGGGGGGGGAGCGAGGGGAGCCCCAAACCCGCAGGGGCTGCCCCGCCTTGGAGAATCGCTAACAGCCAAGGACATACTCTCACCCTCCTCCCCGCAAGGACCCCCGTGAGCTGAGCCATTACTGCAGATGGGGAAACTGAGGCCCAGAGAGGTGGGTGTCCTGCCCAAGGCACTGGCAGGAAGTGGGGCGCCAGCCCCTCCCGCAAATGCAGTCACCTACCATCCCTCCCGTGGCTTTCCCATTCCCCCTGCCCAGCCCCCGCCTGGTCTTGTTTTTCTCTATATCGTTTATCGCTGGTTGACACAACGTGCATTCGTTCACAGCGTTAACGATGTTTAACGCACACACCACAGAACTCCCTCCCGACCTCAGCAGTCACAGGCAAGTGGGCCATCGCCGCCACGGAGCGGCCCCGCGTTCACGTCTTGAGCGGCCCTCGGCCCAGCAGGTCAGCCGTCAAGTGCAGGCACCTGCGGCCTCGGTGTTGGCTCCCAGGGGGCGCAGCAAACCAACCTTCCACAGACGGGTGGACCAGTGGGCGAGGGAAGGCCGCGCTGTGACGAGCTTCACGGCGCCGGTGCCGGTAAACAAGAAGTGCTTACTGTGTGCAGTGCCCCCGCAGGTCCTTCCCATAGCCCCAGGCCTGGCCACTGCTGTCCCCACTTACGGGGGGGAAATGAGGGCTCGCCGCACGTGCTGGCAGTGGGAGCAGGACCGGAGCGAAGCCACCGGGACCCCGGGACGCCTGTCGGCTCGCCGATGCCCCGTGAGGGGCCCGTGTCTGGCCGGGACGGTGGGGACGGCGGCTGAACCGTCGGCGCCCCCTTCGCCCTCCGTCTCTAACTGGATTCCGCCAGCCTCGTCTGGAGCGGGTGTGGAGAGCGGGTGTCATTAGCCCCACGGCACAGTTGAGGAAACGGACGCCCAGGGCAGTGCAGACACCGTCACAGCACTGGGGGAGCGGAGGTGGGCGGGTGGGGGCTTTAGAGCACCCACCCCCACCCCCAAACAGTAACAGACCCTTCGGCACCCGCTGCGTGCCACCGGCTCTGCACCTTCACCCACTCACTCCTCAGCACCCACGGGGGCAGTGTCACCACCACCTCCACGTGCGGCTGCGGAAATGGCTCGCGGTCACAGGGCGCGGCTCTGGCTCAAGTCTGTGTCTAAAGACCCAGAGAGAAGGGAGTTGGTGGCCCCCCGGCAGGGTGCGTCTTCCTCCAGGGGCGGCTGGCGGTTGGGATGACCCCTTGCCCCAGCATCTTCCCCAGGGGGATGCTCCCAGAACCCCCTCTGACGGTCCACCCATCCATCCATCCAACACCCTCACCGAGGGATCCCTGTGCCAGGTGCCGGGGGGACAGGGAAGGTCTGGGGAGACACCGTCCTGCTGTCTACCCAGGAGAGACAGTCTTGCGCGGAAAGCCAAAGATAAACGCGTGATAAGTATCACAGGTGATAAATGATTAGTGATCCTAACGGCCAACGATTATTGAGCGCTGCTCAATTACTCACAGCACCCACAGGGGAAAGCTGTGAGAACAGGGGTCTGTGGGGTTCAGTTCACGCTTGGCACACAGTAGGCGCTCAATAGAGAACTACTGAAATGATCTTATAGGTGGGCGCTGTTATTATGACCATTTTACAGATGAGGAAACTGAGGTGCAGAGAGGTCAGGACACTTGCCCACGGTCACACAGCCAGACAGTGCAGAGCTGGGAGGGGAACACAGGCTATCTGGCTTCAGGGCCTATTCCCAGGACCGCTGTGCTATGAGGGGAAGTGAGACAGGGTGGAGGGGCTCCTTAAATGGGTGCTCGGGGGGGTGGCACCTGAAGGATGAGAAGGAGCTGGCCAGATGACGAGCCGAGGTGAGAATTCATGGCAGTGGGAACAGCTCGTGCAAAGGCCCTGTGGCAGGAACCAGCCTCGGAAGTTCAGGGAGCAGAAAGGAACTGGTAGGACTGGGGTACAGAGGGAAGAGAGGATGGAGGAGTGGGCAGGCGGGCCAGGGAAAGGGGGGAAGTGGGTCCCGCATCCTGCCCAGGCCACTATCCATCCCTCCTGAGAGCTGGACAGTGCCTGGGAGGGACACAGCAGGCTGTCGGCTAGCGTGTGACAGACACACCCGTCACCCCTCCCGTGCTCAGCATAGGCCCTGCACCCAGAGCATCTCACTGGAAGCTCCGAGCCACCATTAACCGAGAGGCAAAAACCACATGCACGCAAAGCACCCTCGAAAACCCCCAGGAAGGCATTGCATCAGGGAGGACCCTGGTGAGCCCTCAAGCCCTTGTCCCTGTTCCCACACGAAGGCAGCTTACTTCCTGCAGACGCTGTGGTGAGAGATTCAGGGGCATCACCCAGGGAACGTCCCCACTGCCCCGTTCTCATGGCCCCACTTTACAGACGAGGAGACTGAGGCCCAACACTCAGATCGCAGGCTGTGAGCAGCAGCCTGGGATCCACACCCAGAGGCTGGTTCCAGAGCCCCTTGAAAGAGCAACGACATTTCCTCAGCTACCAGGCTGCTCGCCAGCCTGTTTAGTCAGCACCCACAGTCCCGGGGCTCAGGCCACAGGCGGCCAGTGCGGTCCCGCCCACGCCACAGGCCCCCACGAAAGCACCACAAAGACTTCTCAGTCATCCAGACGCCCAAGGCCATGAGTGTCTGGGAAACGACTCACTTGTTGACAACGTGCCTCCAGGGTCGGGGAGGGGCCCAGCTGGGTCCTAAGCTCTGGGAGGGGAACCTGGAGGCGAGGCTCCCCTCTGGGCGGCTCAGTGACACCGTCCCTGGTCCCCTCGGTTGGGTTCCCTGACTGCAGCCGAGAGGGTGTTCCCGGCCCCAAGCCAGGTCTGATACGGGTCCTGAGTGCACCGACGTGCCAGAGGCTTGCTGGGGTGCTGGCACTGAGCAGCGGGGACCCAGAGGCGACTGGCTGAGGCCAGGGTGACGGTCACCCCCGCCACCCCCCTCCCTACCCCGTGGAGGGGGATACGTGCTCACAGGAGCTCCAGCCCCTGCCCAGCCCCCTGGGCCGCTATTCCCGGCCACCCTCACATACTCTCAGCCACAAGCCACTCTCACCGCCTGGGTGTCAGAGATCAAAAGACCTGCCAACACACGTGGTACAAGGCACAAGAGCTCACAGACTTTGTTGCTGGGATAGAAACCTGAGAACAAACTTTAGAGGACGGTGGCAAATCTGCCAACATATGATATGTTACGTGCATACCTGTCACCTGGGCTGCCCCAGTATGGGTCCCTCACATACTCACGTCGCAGTAAGTGGGCGTCCTGGCAGCTCCTGGCCATGGCGAACTATTAGAAACAGCCTGCCTGTCCGTGCGGGGGTCTGGCTAATGGACGTGACATCCATGCAGTGAAATGCGACGGGTGGAAAGAAAGAACCAGGAGGACCGAGACGTTCCAACACGGACCGTTCTCCAGGATAGACTGGGAAGTAAAAACCGCAGGACGCGCGGCAGTGGGCAGCAGGTTGTCATCCGTAGAAATAAGGGACCGAGGTCCCCATGCCCTTTTACATGCCCAGACAACCTCTGGAAGGATCCTCAGGAAATGAGGGAGACAACGGTCCCTGCAGACCCTTCTGCATGGCCTGAATATTCTGCTGTGGGTATTACCTACTCAGAAATAAAATAATGAAAACGGGCCCAGAAGGACTTGCGGCTCAGTCGACAACCCCAGGAGGGCACGGGGCTCTTTTGTCCCGCTCGCCGAGGCCTGAAAGCCCACCGTTGGACCGGCGCGGCAGGCCTCAATCCGGTGCTTTGTTCTCCTCTGAGGCTCGGGCAGGCTGGGCTGGGGAGCCCCCTCCCGGGGACAGCCAGCGCACAAGAGACCCGCTGGGCACAGCTCTGTCTGGCAGAAGCTGGGTCACACTTACAAAGGGGCCCTTCTCCTCACTGGCAGCCCTAGACCTGAATATCCAGTCAGTGGGCCCCTGGGGGCAGCGTGCAGAGCGGGGTGGAGGGGAGTCCTCCCTCCTCCCCGCAAATCCCTGCTGGTCTCCCAGCCTTCCTGCATCTCCGGGTCTGATGCGCTGAGGTGTCATTCCCCCGAAGGCCACCAGAGACCGCCCTCGGCCCGCAAGTCGGGGGCAGGAGGCCGGAAGGTTTCTCTCACTCAGGCTGGAGGCGTCCTGGCCTTCCCTGGGTGGGGGGCGGTCTCTCAGGGCGGGGGCAGCATCCTCTGCTCCTTACGCGCCGGGTCGGATACCAGGGCCCTGCTGTCTCTGGGACTCCAGGCTGGGGAGCCACGTCCCCTGCCCAGTGCCCCGTTGCCGGGGAACCCAGAGGAGCAGGGAGAGGCGGAGGCATGGTGGTGCAAGCCAGAGCCGGAGTGTGCACCTGGCCCGCTTCCTCTGGGTGGGCGGCGAGAAACTTCAGAACAGCCCTGGGCGAGACACACGCACTTGGCTGGGCCAGGAGCTCCACGCCCTGAGTGTGCGGGCTCGACCCCCAGGAACCCTCCCGTGGCGCCCCTCACAGCTGGAAGGTGGGAGCCTGGTTGTACTACCACCCAGCCCAGACCTAGAGACTTGATGCCCTCAGACACCCCAGGGCCCGGAGGAGGTAGGCAAAGGCACCCCGATTTCAGAGCAGTTTGGCTGGAAGTGGCGCTGGGGACCCTCTGGCGTCTGGATGCAGACAGCAGGGACTGTGGTTGTTCCCCCCCAGGCGGCTGCAGGGGTTGCGGCAGCTGGGCGGGGGTGGCCGAGTCCTGCCAACCACGGGGCTGCGGATGCCGCCCAAACACCTGCACTGGCCTGAAAGCCACCCGGAGCTCGAGAACGCCACTGGCCTGGGAGAGGAACCTTATCAGCACCCCTTTAGGAGACCGCCGCGGGCCGGGCGCGGAGGCAGGGAGCAAGGTCCCCGGCCCTGTTCCTTCATCTGTGCGAGTGAGGGCAACTGCAGGGGCGGAAGCCTCAGAAGGAATCTGCTGAACCCACCGCCCTGCTCTCGCCCTCGCCTGGCCTCCCGGGGCCTGGGGGTGGTGAGACCCAGAAAGTCTGATCTAAATCTTCCAGGTCCCGAAGAGGAGGCTCCAAGCCTGGCGGGCTGAAAGGGGGAGGGGTTGTCGGAAGAAGACACTGCGCAGTCCCCCAGTATGGTTTCCAAGCCAGTGGGACAGCTGATACTGAGGGAGGGGCGCAGGAGAAGGCGGGACGGCTACATCCGAGCCTGGGAATGGGAGGGGACTCCAGCAGGCTCAGGACAGGGACAAGGGTGGCAAGGCAGGGCTGGCCACCCTGGGGGTGGAAGCAGACAGGGACTTGGGCCAAGATCCATACCCAGCGGGGGGCTGGGAGGCCGGCTCCCTTGCTCCCCAACGTCTTCAACATCCTCAACGGAGCAAACTCGAAACCACCGACTTTCTGGGGCGCCCACACAGCAGCCCTGTCTCTTCTCGGTTGTGGGCGCGCATCCCTCCCCCCCGCCACTCCCACGGGGAACGCACTCGGGACCGCCCTGCTCTGGGTGGCTGCGACTGCCGTCCCACCCGCCTCAGGGGCCCCTTTGGGGCTACACGGAGCCGGTAACGGGGCTGGGGCCAGTGAGCCCCCAACCTCCGCGGGCTCCGGCGACTGCGGCGGGCTCTGAGCGCACAGAGCCCGGGAGGGACCCGCCGCCTCTTTCCTAGACCCGGGTGCGCGCGCGTAAGACACTCAGACTGTGACCCAGCCTCAGCCTTCCTGCCCAGGAAATGGGTGCAGGGCGTCCGAGTTCCCGCAGGCACCGAGGCGCCCCGATGGGGTCTCCCCGGCCCGCGGGAGCCCTGCATCCCGGCCGCGCACTCACCACTCCCAGGCTGAGGTCCTCGGCTCGGGGCGCGGGTGCGGCGCAGCCCCCGCGGGCGGCCAGCGCGAGCAGAAGCAGCGGCAGCGGCGGGACCCGGGCCCAGGGAGGTGGCGGGCCGGGCCCCCAGGTGGCGCGGCGCCGCATCGCGCTCACAGGGCGGACGGCGCGGCGGTGGCAGTCCCCGCGCCCGTGCGCCCCGCGCCCGCGCGCCCCGAGCCCGCGCCAGGATGCCTGCCCGACCGACCGAGCCCTGCGCCGCCTCCCAGCGGCGGGGCGGGGCATGCTAATATATGTTAATGAACGCAGCCGGCGCTCCCTCCCTCCGCCTTAAAGGGCCCGCGCCCCGCTCCCGCCAGAGTCCCGCGCCCCCTGGAGGATGCTCAGAGCTCACCCACGCCCCGCCCGGCGAGTCCACACGGGGACCTTGGCTGCGGCGGCCCGAAGGAAGACACTTCCTGAGTGTCCCCAGACGGCCCCGGGGCGGCGGAGGCATGCAGGCGGGGGCACAGTCCGGGGCTCTGTGCCGGCCCCCGGGGAACGGACCCCGCCTCCCGCCCGACCGCGCGTACATGGACCCCGCGCGCCAAGCACTGTTTCACGGTCAGGGCTGGGGACCCGGAGCAGCAGCCGCAGCGCGCCCGACGGACACCTGGGGGAGCCTTTGCACCGTGGTAGAAGGGAGGTGGGGTCGGATGGCGGTTGAGGAGGGAGAGTGGGAGGGGTCGGGGTAGGGGTGGGAGCAGGGAGGGGCTGGGGGCGTGGAAGGAGCCGGGCTGCTGCGGGGCTGGGGGTCGGAGCTCGGGAGGGACTGCGGGAGGGGGTGGGGTGAGAGACTAGGAGGGGCGCGGGTGGCGGCCCTGACTCTGGTGGGGTCTGGGCGCAGCTAGGAGTCAGCGAGGGCCGTGGGTCTGTGGTCGCTGTGGGTTTGGGGAGGAGAATGTTAATAGGTGACGTCTGTTGGGAGGTCAGTGCGTGCCCGGCACAAGCTCAGAGCCTGCCATGTATAATCATTCACTTCTCACAACATCTTTCGTGATAGAAACTATCATTCCCATTTTTCAAATGAGGAAACTGAGGCCCAGAAAAATTAAATAACTTGTGGGAGGTCACAGAGTCAGAGGATCCTGGGCAGGGCATTTAGATGCAAATACCCCTACACCTTAGTTCTGTTTCTACAACTGCTCCCCTCCCCCACCCCTTCATACCTCCCCTCTCCCCCATCACAGCTGGTGCTATCAAGATTGATGTCCAAAAAAAACCTAAACCAGCAACAGCAATTTCTTTGGGCTTCCCTGGTGGCGCAGTGGTTGAGTCCGCCTGCCGATGCAGGTGACGCGGGTTCGTGCCCCGGTCCGGGAAGATCCCACATGCCGCGGAGCGGCTGGGCCCCGTGAGCCATGGCCGCCGAGCCTGCGCGTCCGGAGCCTGTGCTCCGCAACGGGAGAGGCCACAGCAGTGAGAGCACCGCGTACCGCAAAAAAAAAAAAAAAAAAAAGATTGAGGTCCCATTCTACGGACAGGGAAACTGAGGCCCAGGTGCTTCTGCTTGACCCACATTCCCCCCGTCTGAGGGGAGTGGTGGCCCCTCCACCCAGGTGAGGGCTGGGTTTTCGGGCAGAGCCTCCTCTCCACTGTCCTCCCGTGGCTGGGGTCTTGCGCATCCTACCCTGCTGTTACTCTCCAAGCCTGCTCAGAAGACCGTTATATTGACCCACTGAGATCACTTGCAGTGAAGACCCTGCATACGATGGCCGTTCACAGGCACATCCCCCAACTTTGCTCAAGTGCTACTGGCAAAAGCCTAGCTCAGACTGGCTCTGGTCAGGGAAAAGAAATTTATGGGCTCATTAAACTAGGCCATCTCAGAGCAGGCTGACGTCAGGCAAGGCTGGATCAAGTTGCACCAGGACATGATCAGAATACGGTTTCTCTCTCCATCTCTGTGTTGGCTTCATCCTCAGGCGAGATCTCTCCAAATGGCAGCAAAGACAGAGCGGGCAGCCGCCCCCGACATTCTTCCAGATTAGCAAACCCGGCCGACTGACTCTCAGGCCACAGTCCCAGGGCCATCTCTCATTGGACGCTGTGGGCCGTGTGCCCATCCCTAACCAAGCATGTGGCTGGGGGACGGGCGGGACCAGCTGCGCTGACGATGGGAAGGAAGGTGTTTTCTAAAGGAACTTTGAGATGCTGACGTCAGAGTGAAGGAGGGTGGGTGGCAGCCAGGGCTGGCGCAAGGAGCTCGGAAGAGATACCGGAGCAGTCGACCCCATGGTGTAACAGTTCTTCCTGCACTTGAGAGGGGACGCTGGCTGAGGAGCTGTAGGAGGCCCTGAAGGCAGTGAAGAGCCATGGCAGTGGCAGTGGCAGGGCCACAAGCATAAGAAGCGGCGGACAGACAGACATGGTTCTCGCTAGGTAGGTCCAGATGGTGCCTGGTGAACGGTGCGGGAACCAAGGATGCTTGGTGTCGGGGGACATGTCACTTCATGGTGGGGGCTGTGTGGCACCACGGCTGCTGTTTTCTCCTCGAGCCTGCCACTGAATTCTGGCATTTGAATGTGGCCCACATACAAGCGCTGACGAGAGGCCACTTTTCACCCATCAGATGGGCGACGTTGAGAAAGTCATCCATCACTCACCGAGGAGGGAAGTGGGGACTTTGGTGCTCCTGGAGGGGGTGCCGGCTGGCACAGCCTCGCTGGGAGGCCATCAGGGAGCAGCTGTTAAAATTTGAAGTGTGCGTTTTCTATGGCCCAGCATTCTTGGTGTCTGCGCTAGAAAAACACGCCCATCTTTGTACAAGACGGCTGATGCGAGATGTAATAGTTAACCAAAAAAACCCAAAAAAACCCAGAAACTGCCTAACTGTGTGCTCTGGCGCTGGCTGTGGTCAAGGACGAGGGTGACGGGCAGAGTCCCGCTGCGCCCGTTTGCCGGCCTGTGTTTGCTGCGGGGGGGTCATGTCCCACTGCAGAAGTGGGCACCTTTTCTAAGACCCGCAGGTGCTGTGTAAGCTGGTGGCCACCCTGGGATGACCGCGCTGGACGTACCCCAAAGATGGAACACTGCATTGGGTGAGAAAGGGTGAACTAGATCCAGGTGTGCCAGCGACACTACTCAGACCTATTGTTGAGTGAAAAAAAAATTACGGGAAAAAAGGCAGAGAGCAGAAAAACCCCACGAAACAACTACATAGTTACATTTACCATGTGTACCATGTACAAACACACATGTCATCTCTTCTGAGCTTGGTCTGCTCAGGGGACCAGATGAGGACCAACAGGTAGATACCAGGATGTGAAGGGACCAAGGCCTTCAGGGTCTCAGCACAGTTTTACATTCTTACCAGGAGCAGCTATTCCTGGTTTGCTTGTGTAACTCAAGGTCAGTGGGAAGAGCAGAGGGTACATGTGTGTGTTGGATGGGAAAGGTCAACTTGCTCAAGGAGGTCCCTGCTCCAAGATGGGGCCCCAAGGGGATGTGGTGCCCTTAGACCAGGCCCCAGGCCTTCAGTCCAGCAGAGCGATGGGGCACTGGCCGCATGCCTGAATCCCTGCCCTTGTGGGGCTGACACCCGGCGGGGTGGGCATAGATGAATCGGGTGCAAAGTGGGACAGTGGCTCCCAGAGGTTCCAGGTCCCATCCCTGGAATCCACGGATGTGTCCCCTTATGTGGTAAAGGGAGCCTTGCAGATGTGATTAAGTTAGAGATCTTGAGATGGGGGTGGTCGCAGTGTCCTCACAAGGGCCCTTGAAAGAGGGAGATGGGGGAGGCTCAGAGTCAGGGGAGGAGGCCACGTGGTGATGAAAGCAGAGGTCGGAGTGATGCAGCCGGGAGCCGAGGGATGCAGGTGCTTCTAGAAGCTGGACGAGGCAAGGAGCAGAGCCTCCCCGGGAGCCCCAGAAGGAGCCAGCCCTGCTCACACCTTGCTTTCAGCCCAGCAAAACTGTCTCTAGACCTCCGGACTCCAGAACTATGGGAGAACAAATGTGCCTCACTTTGCACCACTAGGTTTGTGGTCACAGTTAACTGCAGCCACAGGAAACTCCTGTGCATCTTACGGGCGGGGTCAGGAGGATGAGATGTCAGCTTCGCAAAGGCCTGAGGGAAGAGCAGTCAGCCAGGGGGCCAGCCCGTGCAAAGGCCCCGGGGCAGCCTCTGTGTGTTGGAGGTTCAGCCATGGGCCTGCAGTGCCAAGAGGGGGAGGTGGTTTTAAAACTTGTCCTTGGGACTTCCCTGGTGTCACAGTGGTTGAGAATCCGCCTGCCAATGCAGGGGACACGGGTTCCAGCCCTGCTCCGGGAAGTTCCCACATGCTGCGGAGCAACTAAGCATGCGTGCCGCAACTACTGAGCCCGCGTGCTGCAACTACTGAAGCCTGCGTGCCTAGAGCCTGTGCTCCGCAACAGGAGAAGCCCCTGCTTGCCACAACTAGAGAAAGCCTGCGCACAGCAACAAAGACCCAACATGGCCAAAAACAACAACAAAAAACTTGTCCTTGAGCTCTTGGCTATGCTTCCCAGCGGGGGCTACACCCTTGGCCTTCATGTCCACCTCCATCGACAGATGGGCCTGCAGGCTTACTTCTGAGCTGCCTTAGAAAACGCCACGGGCTTCCCTGGACCCCCCGGCACTCAGTGCAAGACACTTGCTATCTCAGTGGGGGCGGAGAGGGGGAGAGAGAGAGGGGATGCACAGAAGCCCCAGCGGCTCTAGCCGGCGCTTTGCGTCTTCCCAGCTCAGGGGCCAGCTTGTGGCTTCGGACGGTCTGGGGGTGGCTGCAGGGAGGCCTTGAGGAGCGCTGCCTGGCCGAGCCCGGACAGCCGCAGCTGTGGGAGATAGTCAGGATGGCTGAGAGGTGTTTAGTACTGCCACATTTGGGATGTTTTTGCCGGTATCTAGATGCCATGTGAGTCTGCTAGGGCCGCCGTAACAAGCACCCAGACATTTATGGTCCTGTGTCCTGGAGGTGGGAAGTCCGAGATGGAG